ACTACTAACACATTTACTAATTACATTGTACATTTACTAATTCACATTGTAAATGAATCTAACTAGTAAGCAAGAATTTACATCACAATTTCTTTCTTTAAAATAAACATACATACGTATATAAATTTTTTCCGAGGCTATTCAGGTGAAGAGCACTGTATTTATTGACTATCGTTATCATTATCTACTTCATTGCGAAACTAAAGCAGAGCGGCGGTAACGTGTAAAGAAAAGTATGTTTAGTATGCTGTCTTTGACAAGATAACAGAATTTGATTAAAGTTTTAAACAATTACTTAGTACGTAATCACCCTGTCAGGTCGGACGGTTTATTAAAAATATTTCATGAACAAAAGGAGTCCTCACGTTATATGTATATGAAAAAATTGTTGAAAACCATGTTCTCGGTAGCATTAAAAGGTCAGCGAAATCGGTGTTCCGGCCATATTTGTAAATAAGTATCAAATTTTCCTGCAATATCATTTGCAGTATATTTGACTTTCGAGACATATGAAGTTTTATGAACTTGGAAATAATAGTCCGCTTCATAGATAATACGACCAAATGAACTTACCTACTAATAAAGTTCGATTACAATTACATGAAGTGCTTCGTTCGAACTCTATACCTTCGTTACCACTGATATTGCACATACCTATACAGATATACATATATATATATATTTACATAGTTATAGTTAAAAGAATTTAAGCGGCAATACCGTGAATTTTGAATGGCTTTCATCATGAAATTTATTATTAAATAGATTCAGCGGTGTCGAATAATTTATTTATTAAGAATAGTCAGATTTTGAATGTTAAGTCAAAATTGTACAAATTGTCACTGAAACTCATTTAAAGATTTGGAAATCTGAAGTTTGTGGGAAACAGCAGTAGATTACACTATTAAGGAAACTAAAATAATAAATCATTCTTATTCATGCAAAGTTTTATATACTTATTCGTTTTATATTTACCATTGTAAAAAAGAAAGTTTTTCTGTTGATATTAATATTATATTGTTTAAGTAAATTAAAAGAAAGTGTAAATGAACTGCGAATAAATAAGCGCAAATGTTTGAAATTATATATATCTTGTCTTTTTGCCTCGAGGTTCATCCCCAAATCAATGTTTCCTTTTTTTTGTAGAATAGAATTTCTTCTCCTTTCTCAGCATCCTCTTCATTCCTATTGTATTTTATTATTTTAAATTAAGTAATTCTAGCGAAATGCTAAAGTTACTTCGTGACATTTTTTGGTACCTCCTGTGAGATATGAGCCATTCAGTATATCGTAAATTTTAACTAACTCGGTACAAAGGATCTTCACAATGTGACGTGAACAATCAATGCTAAGATCTGTTAATCTAACCCATCAAGCCCTCGACAAGGAGGGCAGTGCCTTTCGGTTGGGTCTACTTAACGACATCCAGTCGTCGAACCTCTCCATCTTCTATTTAACTTTCAAGAGCGACCCTACCATAAATTCGAATCTTCGAAAGACGAAATTTGAACATTTCCCCATATGCATAACATTTGATAAACGTTCCACGAATTCTTCCAAGGTGAATGTTTTCTCGTTTTTTCGTACATCCGTCCGCACTCCCAGGGGCCTCAAGGCCTAACCCATCCTAGGGTGGGAGAAGGCCGAGCGTATGAGCGGTGGGGCTGTTTTCGAGACGCTCGAACTTTGTCATCAGCAAGAAGTAAAAAAGCTTTCCGAGAGTGCTCCGAGTAGGTCGCTTCAGTCAACATTGAAGAGATTGACCATCACTTCCACTACAGGACCAGGGATCTCATAATTTTTCCCTCGGCCGGAAAGTGGGGACGATGCGACCATGGTGGAGACTGGTACTTGATGGGGGTATGCTAGGCATGGTCAGCGAAGGCGCATGAGGAGAATAGTAGTGGGGATCGAAATACGGGCGAAAAAGAAGGGAAGCGAGTCGCGTGCGAAAACTTATGAGTTCCCCGTACAGGACACCTCACATCCAGTTGCTGCCTGCGGTCACGGTGATCAGAACTTCACAGATACGTAATTTTATTATCATTACATTCATATTATCTCGCCGCGCGTTTGAGTTCTTGACAAACGGATCGTATATATTACGCAAGAGCGTATAACGCTTAAATCTCAATTAACCAATACACTCAGTGCACTCACACAGAATAAACTGGACGAAGTCAATACTGAATAATGTTTCAATCGATTACGATGAACAAAACGTCGCGCTTTCTACGTGTCCCGTCGCACAATGACCGTTTCTAATTACAATTTTTCTCGTGTTTTCTTTTTCGCGAGCGTCTTTTCCCATCGCAACGCACGCCTGCCGGACGCTCGCTCTCGATTCTCGCTCTCGCGCGTGTTCCGCGACCCTACCTGTCCTCTCGCATAGAGGTGCCCCGCACCGCTCCCGCATTCGCTCGGGCTTATGCCCGCGACGTAAGAAAAACCTCTTCGAGGGAAAAACTAGGCCTAAGTCTTCCCTCGCCCCGCAGCCAACTCCAATTACCGGGACTAACCCGAGGGAGTGGAAATCGAAAGTGGCCCATGGGCAGCTATGCCAGCCCTTAACACCACGCGGCTTTCGTGGCTGATCACAGCCACGTTGAAACGCTCATAAGCCGATTTTTTATTGCCCACGCCTGAGCCTCTCCCGCACGTTGGGAACATGCTTCTTATACAGCTCGAATGTTTCTGATCCTAAGAACAACGATACGATGTTCCTTTTGGTCCTTAGGACAAATTCGCATGGATGTTTTAACTCCTCATTGGTCCTTTCTTGCATGGACAGTTTCTAAACCTTTCGAAAAGATCCATCAACTATGTCGATGTGGGAACAGAACATTCCTAAACACGTGAGGTGTTTGAAAGGTCGACCGAAAACTTCAAACATATGTCAATGTTTTTATATACAGCCACAACGACCTTACTCATGTGGGATTTTATTTGGGAACGGGTATACAGTTGAAATAGATTTTATGAACCGTAACTAACCGTAACTATTATAAATACTAATTTTAAGTGTTGTAATGTTTCGATAATTCGTATTCTTGCACTTTAAACGTATTCCGACGCGATATTATATTTCAACGCTAACGACACGACTACGACTCGACTCACCGCAGTACATTTCATTACTGAATTCGACATTTGACGACTCTCAACGTTTCACGACAACGATTCTCTTTTTTATAATAAACAACATTTTCTCTAGGAGACTAACATGAACAATATGTTAATAGGTAAATCTAATGAAACGATAAACTAGATGAACGCCCTCTATCCCACACTCATGAAGTAACTCACGATCATGATCTCAATTATTTCAAGATGTCATCAATGACTGCCTACTTTTTCAAAAACGCTGTTATAATATAAATTCGTTAATTCGCAAGTTAGCACATCTAGCA